ACTGTATTGCTGTTGTTGGTGTAATAAAAAGTTGAATGGACAATAGCTAGGCAGGAGATATAGGCAGGATTTCCAGAGAAAGATAGGTAGAAGAGGAGAAATCTAGGCCCACAGGAGACACCCGGAGAAATGGAAAGGAAACAGGAGGTACAAGATGGAAGAGAGGTAATGCCAAGTGACAGAACATAGATTAATATAAATGGGTTAATTTAAGCTATAAAACCGAGTTAGAAACAAGCCTAAGTTATACGTTGAGCTATCATAATCAAGAAGTCTCCACGTCATCATTTGGGAGCTGGCTGAAAGGACAAAGAAAGACTTGTTACACTAGATTTCACTTAAAACAAGGTGCTTTTTTAAGTTCCTGTTATGATCAAAAGTTTCATCTCTAAATTCATCATTGAAGGAGATGTGGAAAAAAATAATTAAGTGGGTGCAAGGTACAAGTGAATGTATGACTCATAGTTCACAAAGTAAAATGATTTGGGGAAAAGGCACAGGAAGGAGAGGAGCAAATAATGGATTCTGAATGAAATGAAGACCTTTCGTGTCCAAGGACTGTCACCAGCTCTTTATTACTTGAGGATTAAGGGAATAGTGAATAAAGCTGCCTGCCAGACAGCTAAAAAGGTAAAAATAACATTATCTCTATGTGTGCCTCACTTGAAAATTTTCAGAAATAACATTCATAAAATTAAACTTTCTATTAAAAGTTCCTGGAATATCAAACTGAGATCAGAACAGTGGAAATGTCAAAATAAAATAGGATTCAATTTTTCCCAAGAACCTGAACAAAATGAAACAACAGTGTGGGTCAAGTTGTAGAATCACCTATGTTTGCTCCATTTAGTTGTGAGCAAAGAAAGTATAGTAAAGATTTATTAGTGAAGTTGGTACGGTTTCTTTTTGTTTCTTTTTCTACTACATGGGTAAGTACAAAATAAATGTTATTACTCCCAGGTGAGAACAGCAAACTGACAAAATGTGCTTCATTGTTGAAGTCCAGAAATCAAATAGAAGCCACTCACATACAGTCCCCACCGGATATTTTCGCTACTGTGTATGTGTGCATAAGATACAACATATATATTTCAATAATTTAAGTATATTTAGAACTAATTCCCAGTCCCCTGGCTAAGATGATGTATAAGTTGTACTTTAACATGGACTTTTTATCTTTCCATTATCAATCTGTATGGGAAATAAAATTTTTCCTGATGAAGTTGTATGCAAGAGTATGTTTTAGACTTTGTGAATGTATTTAAGTTAAAATGTACAATTATTTAGAGTTCCTACTATTTGACAGCATTCACTGAAGGCTTTACATACATGAACTCTTCTGAAAAGGCCAGAAAAAATTTGTTAATTATTAAATTCCTGGGGTAAGTTAAGAAATACTTTTATGATAAAACAAATATGCCCTCTATCACTGGTATTTGCTTTTACTTAAGGAAATCTCTAAAAACTAGTGAAGAATGCAAAGATTCTGTTTGTGCTTGCACTGTCCAAGCTACACATAATTCTAGAATACTTGCTCTTAACCACGAAACAACATGTCTCCCATATACTGGGAGAAGCAATGTGTGATTTTTTCCCCCACTTTATTATTGCTATTACTGAAAGAGCATCTCACTATGTAGACCTGGCTGGCCTCAAACTCATAGAGATCTACCTGGTTCTACCAGCCAAACTATGGGATTAAAGGAATAAGCCAGTAGGTCCAGCCTTAGGAATGCTTTTAAAATGAAAGGACCCTTCTCCCTTTCCCCTCTCCTTCCACCATTCCCCCATACTCCCCATGTTTTCAGGAGATCTTGTCTGTTTCCCCTTCGGGAAGGGATTCAAATATATTTCTCTTAGGGTTCTCCTTATTACCTAGCTGCTTTGGGATTGTTTACTTTGTTTTTCTTCACTTTACGCCTACTATCCACTTATGAGTGAGTACATAACATGTTTGTTTATCTGGATCTGGGTTACCTCACTCACGTTGTTTTTTCTAGTTTCATCCATTTGCATACAAAGGACTGATAGCAGTGGGACCTGCATAGAGTCATACTAGGTCCATTGAATGTGGGGGACAGTTGTGAGGCTTGGGCAGTCTGTGAGGACATTGGTAGCGAGACCAGGATTTATCCCTAGTGCTTGAGCTAGTGTCTTGGAGAACATTCTCGTCAGAGGGATACCTTGCTGAGCCTAGACATAGTGGTGAGGTCCTTGGTCTTGCCTCAAAGTGAAGTGTCAAACTTTGTTGACTCCCCATGGGAAGCCTTACCCTTGTGGGAGGAAGGGAGGGAGTAGGTACAGGGATAGCTATGCAAAATGAGAAAAGACTGTACTAAAAAAATTATTAAGAAAAAAAGAAAAATGAAAGAAAATGAAAGGACTAACTTAAATACATAAATATAGAGAGATATATATAGTAAATTATCAGAAGGTTATATGTGTAACATCTATATAACCTCCCTATATATTAACATGTTTCATTCAAAATTTCTTTTAATCCTGCCTACAAAACTATTAGTAAGATAGGGATGATGGTTAATTTCATATATCAATATAATCAAGTCAAAGTGTCCAGAATGTGATCAAACATTAGTCTAGAAGTTTCTGTGAAGGTAGTATTAGAAAAATAGAAATATCTGAATTGGCAGGCTCTAAGCAAAACAAATAATTACCTTCCATAATATGGACAGAAAAAAAAACTTACTAGAACAAACTGAATGAGAAATACTGCCATTCTTTTGTCCTTAAGAAGTTACTTCCCGCCGGGTGGTGGTGGTGGCGCACGCCTTTAATCCCAGCACTCAGAGGGCAGAGGCAGGCGGATCTCTGTGAGTTCAAGGCCAGCCTGGTCTACAAGGGGACTGGCACCAAAGCTACAGAGAAACCCTGTCTCCAAAATTCAAAAAAAAAATAAAAAAGAAGTTACTTCCCTGGGTCTCCAACCTGTCAATCACTCCTGTAGATAAAGGACTCTATAACTTGTATATGTCAATTCTGTAAAATCTCTCCATCTCTCTCCCACCCTCCATCTCCCCTCAGCACTCTCACTCTCCCTACTACCCTCCTTCCCTCCCCTACTCCACATCCACAGTCTTCCCTCATCTGCCATTCGCTTCCTATAATTTCAGTCACACAGAAAAGTTTGTCCAGATGTCAGTGATTCTAACTTTAAACTGCCCAGCCATGAAGTAGAATGAGAAGAATCTCATGCCAGCCTATTCTTCTCACCCCATCTAAGACATTGAATCCACATTATACATGCTACCTACTGTCTAATGCTTATCATCTGCCTTTATTATCTGTGCTGCTTGTAATTAAGAAACCCTTCATGTACTACATCATGGCCTCTAAATTCGAGTACTGTGATACTGGAATTCAGACATGCCAAAGTGAAGTCAAAAAGTAAGTGAAGAGGTAAAAAGTCATGACCTAATAAGGAAAGACAAACATGATTGCTACAATTGCTAAGATCTATAGTAATAGTAAGAATTACTAGGCACAGATATATATACACACACACACAGTTTGACACCACGTTTCCTAGCACACAAAGAGTATTAAAACACATCCTTCTGCAAAACAATGGTATTATTATTCAAACACACACAGACACACACACACACAGAGAGAGAGAGAGAGAGAGAGAGAGAGAGAGAGAGAGAGAGAGAGAGTTCAAATAGTAGACATCTAATTTCTTGCCCAAGGGTTAATGTGCTGGAAGCTCTTTCTCTGTTGTGGTAATGTTAAGAGGTCCTTGAATTTCAAACACTGTCCTTGCAGGAGGATTAGAGTCATATTGATCTCAGAAGAAAATGATACTTCTTACATGACATTTGGAATAAACAAATATGACATGAGGTCTCTCCTCATGGTTCAGCTACCCATCTCACCATTCAGTCTCTCTCTCGTCCATGTGACATGCACAATTCCATTCACTACCATGTGATACAGACAAGGAAGTCTCCACAATAGCAACTGCCAATGTAGGTGGATTTCCAGCCTCTACTACACAGCTATGCATATCACCTTCCCTTACAATTCATCAAGCTTCAGGTGTTTTATTAGCGAAATAAGGATTCTCTCTCTCTCTCTCTCTCTCTCTCTCTCTCTCTCTCTCTCTCTCTCTCTCAATTGGTTTAGAATCTCTGGAGAGTTTGGCATGACACAGATGGGTACTGAGAATGTAGAGCTAAGAAAATAGGAACAGGGATTCAGAACGCGATCTTATCTCTAATCACTCTTTAAAAAGATTATAAAATCCTCAAGAAACTGTTCTGGAATTGAGTTTTCATACTCAACCTCTCAGCAAGTATATATGATTCTGACAGCTGTGATCTGGTAAAACTAAACAACTCAGGTAAATAATTTCTCAATAACTTGCCAATCACTATATAAGAGAATTAAAATCATACATTCACACAAAATCTTGTGTACAAATCTTCATAAAATGTGCAACTATGATAAACAGAAAATAGTAACTAACATAATCAGAGCCAAAGACAAATGGCTAGACAAAGCACATTATACCCATATCATGGAGAAATCTACAGTAAAAAAGAACAAAGCAGGGCTGTGGTTGTAGCTCAGTGAGAAAGCACTAACTAGTATGTGTGAAACTCTGGATTTGAGGCCCAAAATCACATGCATGCATGCATATACAAACAAATGGATAAAAGTAAAAAAAAAATCACAACATTCTACAACATGGGTAAATCTTTAAAAAGCAGTAAGTCAAAGAATGTAAGCACAAAACATACTTTAGGTCAATCCAAAATGACATAAAATAGCTTAGGGGTTTTGAAGGTCCAGAGAAAAGTAAACAAAAGACCAACTGCCAATGGATATGAGGCTTATCCATGTACTAAAAAACTCCTAACTAGACGATAGTGATGACTTCATAAGCACATCAATATACTAAATAACACCCAATTATATATTTTTAAATAGTGACTTACAACCCAATAAAAAATGACAATGATTTTAAAAAATCAACTCACCTGCCCTTTTCGAGGTGTCAAGCAATGAATAACTTCATCCACCATTACTGGAATATGCAGTTTAGCCATGGCTTCAGAATCTTTCTCTGCAGATCTATGAACGCTCCTAGTGCCACAAAGAGCTGCCTCTTCCTGAGATTCACATTCAGCATGCACGGCTGCTGAAGTGTGCATTGCTTGGGGACAGACACCCAAATTAAATGCACCGGACTCCACCCAGCAGTAAAACAGTCCTTTGTACATTCTAAAAAAACATGAATATCGAAGCATTCTGAAGATCAAAAAATCTAGAAGAAAAAATTAAAAATTGATGATTTGGGGCTTTTAATCTTTTTTATGCACTGGTACTTTGCTTGCACGTATGTCTATGTGAAGATGTCAGATTCCCTGGATTGGAAGTTACAGACAGTTGTGAGCTGCCATGTGGATGCTGGGAATTGAACCCATGTCCTCCTTAAGAGCAGCCAGGGTTCTTAACTGCTGAGTCATCTTTCCAACCCAGTTTCTAATTTTTTTAAAAGACACACTATTTGGGAGAAAGCTCATTAAGATAAACTGTTTAATACACAAATAAAACATTTAAGACTCATCATCTAAGCTAGCAAAGGTGACTGCCTTCTTCACATGAAACAAGAAACCCAAATGAACACACAAACATAATTTAAATGTAATTTCTCACTGGGCACCATAACTACATCTACAATTCCAAACCTCAAGCAAGAGGGGTGCTGGAGGACAACCTGAACTGCGAAAAATAATTAACCAATTAAACAAATATAACTTTTACAGTGGCTTTATGAACTTTAAAACCACCCATTTTTACCCCTCATCAGTATGAAAATTGGTAACTCATTTTCTGCAATATAGTTATTAATTAGTTCTAAAGAGTAATTTAAAAACCTTAAAAATATTTATTTAAAAGTTAAACTTGGTTTATGGCCATAGCACCCAGGGCTCACCCAATCTTGTCTAAAAGTTAAACTAGAGCAGGAAAGAGAATATAAATATTTTATTTTAGGTTTGGTTCATCTTTTATTTCCTGTTGTTTCACTTATTGTTCTCAGTGCTAAATTAATACATTCAACTTAGCTTTGAGAAGCCTGGCACTGGAAATGAGTAAACATGGAGGCCAGACAAGAAAATACGATCACTGTGAAAATCTTGCAGATTGTCAAAGGGTCTCTGACAAGACAGCCTCAGCACAACCTGTACCCAGGAAGCACACACTGAGTCAAGCTACAGCTTAACGCTCAACAAGGCACATTTGGGTATTCATTTCTTCCCTCTTCCCTTCAATCCTGGAGATCAAGCCCAGTTTACTCATACCACATAAACAATCAAACGCTAAATACATTTTTATTCCTTTTTTTAAAAACTGGGCTAGGTCTTGCTATGGAACCAGGATAATCTCATACTTGATATCTGCCTCAGCTTCATAAATACTACATGCCATGACACCTTGATATACTTTGGAATTTCATGCTACTATTTTGGTTTGGTTTGTCTGATGTGGGTATGTGGGGTTGGGGGGAGGGGGGAAAGTGTTTCTTGTTAGCTGGTGTTAGATATTGAACGAGACAGGGCCTGTGTACACTAAGTTCCCTCTCTACCACTAGACTACACCCCAGATCCCCGTTTTGAGATGTATACACCTTGTGGCCTAAAACCAAGCAAACAGATAACACAGTCATTGAGACTCTCAAACTTTCTCATCTTCTGCAATTTGAAATTCTTCTAAATGCAGAAGGAGAAAAGAATACTTTTCTTACATTACATATTAACAGAAAAATATTTAAAAGCATTGGTGTTTTGACCAATTACCTTCAATGTTTATATTACTTCTATAGTAAATACCCAGTTGGTACTTCTCTTCCTTCCTCATGGATTAAGAGTTATTTAAGAATAAGTCCTATGATTTCATATGCATAAAATCAAATGAACGATAAGTGCTTACCAAGTGTTTCAGTGGAGGGGAGAGGGAGAACACACAGACAGTGAATACATTCCAGATTTCACAAAATAAATGTTTTTATCAATCTCGTCTGATTGCGCCCACTAAATTTGCATTTTCAAATTACTTGAAGAATTATAAATGTCCTATATAAATGTCTCCCTTTCCTTTTGTAATAGAAAGTAAAATAATTCATATGTATTGACGAAAACAGAATGCAATACAAATGTATGTGCATATGTTAAATAGATAGAGCATGAGTAAGATGCTACCCGAAAGGTAACACATCAAATATGCTTTAGAAATAATTCACTGAATTATGTGCCAATAAGAAATAGTGAAAATATGGAGATGCCAAAGAAACTAGAAATAAAACTCTAAAGTGAATTTCGAGTTCTGAAGCACCAACAAATTTACCAAATTGTTAGTTATTCTTTAAATTCTCCAGATAACTTTAAAAAGCCAAGCACAAGTACCCTTTAATTTGATGGACCTTTTTTCAAGATAATAACTAATTTTTATTCAGCACTAAGTGACAACTCTATGTAAAAACTATGTTCTACCTCATGTAATCAATCATAGTTCTTGGAGTTGAGTGTAGTTATTGCTGTATTATAATTGAAGAAACTAAATTGCTTACCCCATATCCAGAGCTATAACTGTAACTACAGTGCAAAGGATCTATCTTCAGAGCCTAAAATCTTTATTTTCAGTGTTATAGACATAACCCAATGCAACTACTTTAATGTACATATATAATTTAATGGTACACTACACTGACTATGTATATATAGTAGCTCACAAATTATATTTTTAATGGAAAATGCTTCCTATATCTTGGCTTTGCTCTACTTGGAACTAATAGACCAACAAACGGAACTCCATGCATCAGGCAAAAAAATGGAATCTGGAATATGCAAACAGCCTATACTCTATGTCCTAACAGATTTAATAACTTATTTTTATCTTTGGGGGTTCAAATGAATACAAGTGCCAATAGAGACTAGAGGCATGGTATTCCCCAAAGCTGGAGCTAGCGGCAGTAGTGAGTAGAATGATCTGAAGACTGGGAACTGAACTCTGGTCTTCAACAGTACAAACAACCACTGGGCCATGTCTCCAGCCCCTTGTCCAGATTTTAACTGTATTTTTTACAGGAAGCACTGCTGTCAATAAAAAACTCAAAATAATGTGGAAATAAAACAAAAAAAAAGGATGCAAAATTGTTTGCATCAGCATTTTATTCTTTATTGTACTCAAATTTTCTGCATTCATTTAATTATGTTCAAGGTAAAGCAAAGTTTTTTACTTGTTTGTTTTTGAGACAGTTTTTTTCTTTTTAATTGATTTTACTCAGCTACACATTTTTCTCTGCTCCCTTCCCTTCCTCTTCCCTCCCCTTCTACCCTCTCCCATGGTCCCCATGCTCCCAATTTATTGAGACAGAGTTTCTTTGCACTGCCTTTGCTATCCTGGAACTATCTCTGTAGAGGAGGCTGGCCTAGAACTCACAGACCTCCACCTACCTCTGCCTCCCTCCCAAGTGCTGGGATTAAAGGGGTGAGCGACTACTGTTTCGAATCTAATCTTTTTTTTCTTGTTATGAACTAACAAGCTTGTAACCTAGGCAAACACGGAGAAGGGACTGCAAATGATTATTTGTAGCCTTGAGATTGTTTGTAGGATCCCACTTTGTTGAGCTGGTGCCTTAAAAATTACTGAGTACAAACTAAAGGAAATTCCATCCTCGTAGCCCCTTCTTACCTACCAAAACAAACAGATCCCTTTGCAACCTCGGAAGGTTGTTTAGTTTCTTGCGAGTCAGTAAACCTGGCCTCTAAAGCAGACTGCAGTGTGTTGTAGGGATATCTTTTCACTCTTCGACACCAGCAAAGTCATCTTAAGTTATGGAGACCACAAAATTGACAAGGTAACTTTTTTAATTGTGGGACTACAAACTGATGACTATAAAGAGTACTTCCTTCGGGATGCTAACCGTCACTATGATTAGTCTACCCTGAGAGAAAATGTTGTTACAAATGTAATTTTAATGCTAAAATCGCGACCAGCGGGCTGGCGGGGAGGCAGAGGGAAGAGGAAAGGGGAGGAAGGCACCCATTGTCATCGGATTCCAGCCAGTCCTGGGCAATCTTCACAGTCAGGCTGACCGGCAGACACCAAGCAGTTGGGGGAGGGGCTTCTACTTCCTTTGCTGGGTGGAGACAGGATTCCAAAAACCCCTAAACCAAGAGCACCTTCTCCTTCCCAGAACTAGCCACTCGCTGCCTTCTCCTCACCTGAGGAAAGAAGAGTCCTCAGTCAGCCTGTAAGTTGGGCCAGCCGCGACACTAAGAAGCAGAAGAGCCTGGACTTGCATACATCTAGGTCGGGGGTGGGGGAAAACTTGTCACGACGGACTGATGGGCTCCAATCCGTCGGGGCAACTGAAGTCTGTCTGACTTTCGTTCCGTTGCTCCCAGCACCTGCCGGGGAAAAGGTGTTGAGGGTCAAAGGTTTCCAAAAGACTTTCCCAGGAAAATAAGATCTAACCATTGCCAAGTTTAAACACACCTTTAAGGATTTGAAAGCCAAAAGTCCGTGGCAACCTTAAAAGTAACTTTCACTTTTCTCTTCGGTCGACTAAAAGTTTTGTAATGACTCCATACATCATCGCCAGTTTCTAACCAAAGATGGAAATTTCGATCTTCTTAGCCCTGCACATTTGGAAAGCTTTGGTTCTTCCCCCCACCCCTTTCATTTCGTTAGAAAGCAGGAGGTTCTCTTGTCCTGTTGTTACTTCTGCCAAACTCATGAGTTGCCAACTCCACAATAATGGCAGCGATTGTATTGCCAAAACCGCTGTTTTAATCAAATGCAAGATTCCTCAAGAGTATAGATTGCATAATTTGAACACTACTATAGAGCAAATGCAATGGGGAACTGAAACTAAACTTATAGTATTTGGATTAGGTGTGGCTACACCTGTATCACTAAGAAATCTATACAGTGTGGCTGTAAAAAGCAAAAACTGAAATTTATGTGCCTTATTTATTAACCAATTTTGCAAGATGGCAAGATAAACATTTTCAAACTAGATTAAAATATCATTTTATAGACACTTGACAAAAAGTATTTTAAATACAAATAGCTGGATTTTGGTTTTACAAGACAAATAGAGATTTTTCTAACACTTCAGCTTTCTTGCAATAAAATCAAAACATGTCTCTTTCTTACTGTCTGTTTTTGTTGTTGTTTTGGCTTGGCTTGGTTTTTCGAGACAAGGTTGCTCTGTGTATCTCTGGCTGGCTGTCCTAGAACTCACTCTATAGACCCAGCTGACCTCACACACAGAGATCTGCCTGTTTCTGTCTTCCTGCGTGCTGGGATTGAAGGCATGCCACCATCGCCAGGTGTGAAGGAGTATTTAAAATAAAATTAACTCTTCTCAATTTTATTGCCAAACCCAGTACAACACAAATGATGTCATTAGTTGGTACATTTAATTCAACCAAAAATAAGTAGTCACTTTATTGCTGGACTATCCAGGGCTCAGGAAAACTCATAGAACATGCAAGATATATAGTTTGCAATGTTCCTGATTTTCTTCAATAGAAATGGGGACTCTCCATTATAATCTGTGAGCGTTCAACACAAAATTCCACTACCAGTAGCCTGTACTGCTGGGTGTGGTGGTGCACGCCTTTAATCCCAACACTTGGGAGGCAGAGGCAGGCAGATCTCTGAGTTCTGGGCCAGACTTAGCTACATAGCAAGGCCAGCCAAGACTCTGTCTCAAAATATGAAACAGAGATATGAGAGACAGAGAGAAAGGAAGAGAGAGAATGCACTATACTGAAACATCCACAATTTTACAGTGATATTCAATCAACTGGAATCTAACCTCCAGGAGGGCAGAGACATTGACTTCATTATGGACTAATGTGTTCCTAAAATCATCAAGTAATAATTGCTAAGTAAATGGACAGTCATATAAACAACAGCAATGAAATTAACATCAGAATACTAAATTTATCTCAAGGGCTGAGGATGATAGGGGGTTTGCCTAGCCACAATACAAATACAAAATGCAAAATACCCTGCCAAATTAAAAATGAGTTTCTCACAAAAAATATTTCCCATGTTTCCATGCATTTTTCGTTCTAAAGTTTACATTCAGAAATAACACAATCTAGAATAACATTCAACAACAACCTGGTCGAATAATGTACTAAGCCAATATCATTAAGTGATTTTTTTTTATTTTGTAATGTCGTCCTTGAACATGTAAAAAGCCGTCAAATTACCAAATATTTTCAGTCAACCATAGCGAGAACAGGCCAGGAAGCCCTGACAGGAAGACTTAGGACCTGGAGCCAGAAGTCTTGAACTTATAATTAATTCAGGTAGAAGCCCTATACCTTTCATAGCATGAGACCTAATCCTTGGAAACCTGAGTAACCAGAAAGGAAAAAAAGAACAAAATAACCCATGCCCTTTAACACGCCTTCTGCCCGCAGGAGAAGCACACCACCCCGCACCACAGGAACCTACTCACTCCCAGGGTCTGCGACCAAACTATGGCTCCCAGGTGGCTTCCCACCTGCACCTCCGCCCTAGCTCCGCCCACTCCGCCAGCGGCTCCCGGAAACGATCGCGCGCGTTGCCACGGAGACGCCCAGAAAAGCCGCTCCCCCCCACCGGCCTGGGAGGCCCGGCCTCAGGCGCCAAACTGCCAGACGCCTTGGCAACGTCCGACGTGATGACGTCAGCAGAGCGGCAGCCAATGATATACGTCGCTGAGGAAGCTAGCTTGGATTTGAATTTTGTGGCTGTGCCTGGAGCGCCTGGAAGCCTTCTCCGCCAAGTTTCCGCGGACGCTTTCTCTAGGTGAGTGAGCTGGGCACCGTCTGGGGACGGGTTCTCGGTCTCGGGAGTGGAGGGTCCAGCGGCGGCAGTCAGGTCTGCGGACAGAGGAGCTTTGGGCGCGGAGTGCGGGACCCGGGTCCCCTTGGTCCCCCGGCGGGAAGGACCCGGGGCTGCCTGTCTGAGGCGGCACGACTCGGCCCGCCATTGCCAACCCCGAGGTCCCAGGGCTTCGCTTTCGAGCCCCGAGAGGAAGCAGGTCCCTTTAAAGGGTGGCTGGCCCCTTTCCCAGAGCTGGACTGAGGGCTCTGACAGTCCAGCCTCTTGGAGTGTGAGGTTCCTTCCGGATTCCAAATTCGGAGTAGCCTGCTTAAGCTGCACACGTCAGTGTGCGACGTCTATGCTTTACTGTCAGGTGAGGAGCTTTTGTACACAGCGGCTCTCTGGTCACTGGTCAGTCCGGAGCTCAGGTGTAGCAACGGGCAAGACCTGCCCTGACTGCCCACCTGTGTTGCCGAGGACCACAAAGAAAAATAATGAAAGACCTGAAGGCAGGGAGCTGTTTTTGCAACCCTTTCCTATAAGATCTCGTTGGCCTTGGCCTTACAAAGAAGCTAACTTTGTTGGTGTTGTCATTGCACCTCGCCCAGTTCCCACCTTGGGTTTGCTTTCTTTAACTTTAGTGTTAGACTATGAAATGCACGGAAATGATAAATAGCACTTGCTATTAAATGCACTATATTGTAGGAACTATTTAAGTAAGCGAGAATGATTTGCTGTAAGAGGTATGCTCGTTATCGAACCCGTAGTTACAGATGTGCAAGGTTTCTCATGTTAAACAGCATCTTGTCCCACTATAGTTATAGCGCAAATCAGTAACGACACGAATAAGTGAGTTTCTGGTGTTAATGCTGTGAAGAGTGATGGAAAAGATAGCCCACTCTCGGTGCTGACCTTCCCTCCGTGGCAGCTTGTCATTCTGCCCTGATGTCTGTAAGCCAGTCAAATCAGTGGCCCTAACACTGAAGTTAATGTACAGAAAGGTTTATGCTAGAAACTCTAAGGGAGGAGAGTTCCCTGTTGTAAACAGTGTTGAAGCAGAATTGTATGGGTTTGACATAATGCATAGCTATGTTATTCTACTTCTGTACCCCTGTTTGGAAGCAGTCTTTTCTCTTTCGTAGTTGTGTATTTTGGATTTGGATCTGGGTCCAGTTTCTGTCTCATTAGTAAAAGCAGTTGGAAAAACTATGTTTATAAACAGACATTGCATGATTATAATGATGGTTGAATGACGTGAATATAAAGCGTTTGCTGTAATTCTTGCCAGAGAGTGACTTATTGTCACCACTATTGCTAGTCATCACCACTTTGAAGTAATGCAAGTATTTTAAGCATAATTGTTAAGAATAGTTACTGCACCCAGGTGGTGGTGGTGCATAGCCAGCTGGTGGTGGCACACGTCTTTATACACTGCTTGTGTATTCAGAGGTCCAAGTCTTTGGTGTCTTAGTGACGTGGAAATTCAAAGAGCATCAGTATATGCATAAAGTGTGGTTGAACTTTATGACAGTCTCACTGGAACAAAAAGAAACTGACAAAGAACAGCAGTGTGAAAAGTTCAACTCTACTACTATCCTTAGAACATCTTATTCCACAGATAACAATAACTTTCTTATTAAACATGGTCTCTGCACTTGATACAGAAACAACTAGATAGGAATTTCTTTTTAATAACTTATATATTTTATGTATGTTGGTGTATATGTCTGTGATAATGATGTCGGATTCCCTGAAACTACAGTTACAGACAGTTGTGAGCTGCCATGTGGGTGCTGGGAACTGAACCAGGGTTCTCTGGAAGAGCAGTCAGTGCTCTTAACCACTGACCCATCTCTCCAGCCCCCTAGATCCCAATTTCTTAGTTACCCATGTTAGAAAAAAAAAGCATCTCTTCAATGTATGAATAATATCAATTTCTGAAGATGTCAGTATATTGAAGTATTTATTATCTTTAAGAAATGTATATCTGGAAAAAAATAAGAAAAAAATGCCGGGCGGTGGTGGCACACGCCTTTAATCCCAGCACTCAAGAGGCAGAGGCAGGCGGATCTTTGTGAGTTTGAAGCCAACCTGGCATACAAGAACTAGTTCCAGGACAGGCTCCAAAGCTACAGAGAAACCCTGTCTCGAAAGAGAAAAAAAGAAGAGGAGGACGAGGAGAAGAAAGGAAAAAGAAGAAGAAATGTATATCCGAACCTCTGGACCTGGTGGTAGTAGCACATGCCTTTAATCCCAGTACTTGGGAGGCAAAGACAGGCAGATCGCTGAGTTTAGGGTTAAACATATTTTTTGACTCAGTAGGGATATTTTGAGCAAAAGTGATGGGAATATGTGAGGTTATAGGCAAGGTTGATCAAAAAACATTATATACGTGTATGAAATACTCAAATTTTTAAAATGTCTTAAATGTAGTTCTCATTGAGTCAATGGTCTCTTTGTTATGGACACTGGTGTCCAGTTTCTAGGTTTAATCTGTCCTTCTTCAGCCTCCTCAGTAGCTATAACTACAGGTGTGTCATGGGCCCTGTTTGTTTGATTTTTCTATCCACCCTAGGTATTTGATTAAGAAAATTCAACCATGAGTAGAACTCTATGGAAGGGCAGAGGTCTTGGGTTCAGTCACTAGTATGGAGGAAAGACAGTTTTCTTTGCTTTCTTGTATTCAGGAAGTAGGAAAATGCATGAATTCTGTATAATAGGATCAGTCTTCCATTGTTTAAAAGGATAAAACTAGGTAAAGGGAGGCCAATCTTCCAAATTTTTAATGAGATCTAAGAGTTTACCTCTGAATTTGAAGCTAATTGGGGATTTCGTGGGTTTTTTAAAAGACAGTAAGTATTGGTCAAATAACATTTTTTTGGAAGAAATTCTGTCAGTCTCATAAAGGAACTTAAGAAGAATAATGTCACATGTAACTTTGTGTTTCAACCTGTTACAGATTTTAAGAGAAATTGATCTTATTTCTCATTTCTCTTTGTTCTCTAGCTGGAGCTCAAGAAAGCAAGGAGTCCCTTGAGCATTCTTTGAGCTCTACAGATAAAATTATATCCAGGCATTTGAAAGTAAACAGTTATAAAGGAAATAAATGATTTAATTAAACTGACCATGCCAAAACCTGGCCTTGCAGCTCCATTAGCCTCCCCTTTCACAAGCTTGTTACTGTCACAGAATTTTGGACTTGCCACCTGAAATATACATGTATGTCCAGTAAAGTGGCTTAGTAGGTAAAGTTACTTGCTGCCAAGTCTGATGACCTGAATGCGATGCTCAGAATCTACAGGAGAGAAGAGAATCAGCTTCTGCATTTGTTCTTAGTTGCCTCGAGTTCTCTGAGTAGCAGCGTGAGGCGTAGTGAGCTTCAGCATAAGGTTGTTGTGGTCCTTGTTCAGTTGATGTTTAGGTAGTCACGTTGGTGAGGCTTTGTGGGTATAGCTTCTGATATTCCTAGGAGATATGATCTCTCTGCACATTAAGAGATCAGAGAATAGGACCTCTGAATACATGAGTAGTGTATACTATTTCTCTCCTCTCCAGACATGTGCTGGCTAGCCACTGCAACTTAAGAACTAACCCACTGTATCTCTGACACGCAGGGAGAGACAGCCTGGATGCATCTTTACACTTCCAAGAGACTACAGACAAGATCACTTTTACTAAAAGGAGTTCCCAAGCTAAAATTTCCATTATTACTCTGATCTGATTCAGAAAGATCTTTCTCTGCTCATTTTCATCATCCAACCTAAAACTGTGTTAGAGCCATTTGAAAAGTCAAATCAGAAAGTGAATCAGCTCTAATGTTTGAGTTTTGTTTAAACTCAAGAACATGATTAATATTTCAGGAAATTCTTACCATGATTTTGTGTACATGTGTGCCGTTTTGGGGAGATGTTTAAGTTATAGGACTATATACATTTCTCCAGTAATACATTTTCTAGGTAAGTGGAACATAAACATTACCTTTTAAACAACTATTACATGCCAGTTTTAAGTAAAACTAATAGTGACTTTTTCCTGTTTAATTTCAGAAAACTGCCCCAGCATTCATGTGAGCAGGAATCAAGATAACTAAAAATGTCTGTCACTAAGGAGGATTTATGTCACCACATGAAAGTAGTTGTTCGTGTGCGTCCCGAGAGCACAAAAGAAAAAACAGTTGCGTTACATAAAGTGGTTCATGTTGTGGATAAACATATGCTCGTTTTTGATCCCAAGCCAGAAGAAGTCAGTTTTTTTCACAAAAAGAAAACTACAAATTTTGATATTACTAAAAGACAAAATAAAGATATTAAGTTTGTATTTGATGCTGTATTTGATGAAACGTCAACTCAAATGGAAGTTTTTGAACATACTACGAAGCCAATTCTTCATAGTTTTCTGAATGGATATAATTGCACAGGTAATTGTTTCAGTTTGAAGTTGAATTTTTCTTTCTAACATCAGTTTTAATCTTGTAATAAATCAAGTTCAAGGTACAAGCATTCCAATAGTTTTAAGACTTTTAGTAGGGCTAACGATATGTCTCAGTGATTAATAACTCTGACTGCTTTTCCAGAGTACCTGGGTTCAATTCCCAGCACCCACATGGCAGTTAACAACTGTCTATAGCTCCAAGACCTGACACCCTCACACCAGACATACATAGAGGCAAAACAATGATGCACATAAAATAAAAATAAATAAGTTCTATTTTAAAAAGAAAACTTTAGTAAATTTAAGTGCGAGCTTTCTTTG